GAAACCTAAACCATCTCAATGACTTACTATAATGATCACATGCGCCTTTATTAGGAAGTTCTGTACCTTGTTTTATAGTAACCTTTTGTTTATTAATCAATTGAATACTCTGCACACAAAATTTTATAAGTGAATGACATTCATAACAATTAATTACAAAATTTTTTCTTAATGAAATAGGCATACTTTCATAGGCCGTTCCACACTCAGAACAACTAAATTGGTATCTTGAAATATCAAACAAAATTACATTTGCATTCTTAATATTTAAAAATCCCAAACTATTAGTGTTTATACATGGAAGGTATTTATACTCTATTAAAATACCACATTTAATACAAGAAGCATCTGAATCAATATTCTGAACAGTCTTACACCTTGTACAGGCCACTTTCACATTTAGTTTAATGCACGTGAAAAGTGAAATATTTTCAACTGATCTATCAAGGATAACGTTTGGGTTAATTGAATTAACAGAAAATTTAAAATTTAATGGAAGTTTTGTGCATGTCTTAGTAGATGATTTAATAACTTTACTAAAATTCTGTTCAAGATAATCAACAAATTCTTTTATTGGTTTATTTTCTATCTCATTAAAAACCCTTTTAACACCATCACAAACAACTGCTTTACTCTTAGACTCACTATCATATTCAACTATTACTTCTTTAAAATCTTTCTTAAATTCATTTGGAATCTTTAGTTTAATTCCCAATATATTTTTATTGGCATAGACTTCATGACTTTCTAAAAATCCTTCAATTTCTTCACTTTCACTCATTTTAAATAATTAAAATTTATTTTTTAAGTATTTTCTTAAAAATTTCTTGAAATAGCCGGATTATTCCCATTGAAGAATAATTAATTTCTTTGGCAACTTCATTAATACTTTTCATTTGTAAACCAACACCTGCTAAAACAGCTTGTTCAATTACATTTAAATTCCCATCATAAATATTATAAAAACATATCCTTGTTATCTTAGGAATTAAATATAAAAAATTATTTAAGTCGGTATCACCCTTTATAACCAAATTCATGTCCTCTATTTCTTTACTAGTTAAAACTTCATTGTAATCAAGTTTTTGATTACAAGTATAAATAAATGTTAAAATTAAGCTTATTGGAAGAGTTCTATAGCACAAACCACATTGATTTATAAATTTGTATAAGTTTTGTTTACATATGTCATCAAATGACATGTCTATTCCTTTTATACAAATAATATTAAACTCACCTGTTTTTTCACTAATCTTATTATTGATTTTGATAGGTAAAAAATTGAGTTTGTTCCAAAATCTTAATAATGGTTCACTTAATCCAAAAGATACTCCAATCCAACTAATCTTTCTTTTAAAAATTTTTAAAGAAATATCTGATTTTACTAACAACTCTAATTCTTTCATTATTTTACTTCCATATCCCTTTGATTGTAATTCGATTCTTGTTGCTATTCTTACAATTCTTAAACCATAACATTTAGAAAGTTCAACATTATTTGTAATATTATATAACATCCAAGAAATTAGATTCCCTTCTTTAGTTGACTGATTTAAATCAATACCTCCTTCAACCGCCGCCTGTATTACTGTACAAATATTCCCTTGTAAATCTTTTAAAACAAAAACATATTGTTTTTTCGAATCTAGTAGTATTTTAAGATCATTAGGACTGTTTCTATAATGACAAGATGCAAAGATTGTAAATATTTCTGATAATAACTTCTGATCGTTTAATAGTATATTTTTATTAATCATCTCGAATTTAAAATTATCAATGTTTGGCAAAATATTCTTAGAACTTTCAATTGATCTGTTATCATTAAAAAACATGGGTTAAATATTTTACTCATTCCTTATTGATTTCTTTTATCTCACAAATAGGCATATAAATTTCTTGAAGTAATTTTTCTAACCAATCATCAGCTCCATATCTTATAGGAACACTTAATTTATATTCAGAGAAGTTTAAATTGGAGTTTATAATAAACTTATTAAATTTTTGAATAAATAATCTGCTTGTTCTTTCATAACCATCACAAGTTGTTGAAGTTATAACTCTTTTACATTTAATTATACTTTTTAAATAATTTAAAGGTATTGAAGCTGCTTCATCAACTATCAATAAATTACAACTTAATATACATTCATTACCAATGTTCACAAAATCTACTGAACATCTATTTAATACATTAATACTTTTTATTATATTAGACTTATAATATTTAATCTTAATTTCTGATTTATCGAAATTTTCTTTTAATAAATTTAGAAGAAAACCATATAAAGGTTGTATGTTTTCAATATAAAAAGAAGTAATAATTATAAAATCAATTCCTTTAAAAATCGCTTCTAATATAACACTAGCTAACTAACACAACAGTTTTTCCTCTTCCTCTTGATGCCAATATAGAAGCAAAACCTTTACAGTTTGGTTTTAATATTTTAACTATGTTTTTCAATATTTTATCTTGATCTTCTGTTAATTTTAATTCTTTATTATAATTATCTATTAAAAAATTTTTTTCATAACTTATACTTTTCATAATTTTATCTAATAAAAAAACATCTTTAACAATAAAAGCTTTCTCTTTAAGCATTCTTATTGCTCTGATGTTAAAATTTCCTAAATTTAACTCATCACTTAGTAATATAATAAACCCTTTACCAGCCACCGTTTCTAAAAATCTTAATAAGGTATTAGGTGGTAAATCAGTAAATTGTTCTATAATAAGAAAATCAACTGTCTTTCCCAATTGTTTTAAACTCAAATCATTTAGATATTTCAAATTGTTAGTTTTCACAATAAGTTTTCTAACTTCACTTTCAATACCAAAACAAACTCTAAACATTTCATACAACTCATAAATCTTTTCAGTTAAATCTTTATTCTCGACCATAAACAGTGATCTATGATTCTTTCTAAAGTTTTCTTTAATTCTTTCTATCATTCTAAATTTTTATTAAAAAGATTTTATTTATAAAGACTGAGAAATTGACTTAATAAGATCTCTTTGTAAATTTTGTAATTCACAATCATATTTTGTTAAAGAATAAACATCCTTTGAATGTAACTCATTGCAAATACCATCATCCTTTAATTTTTCTTTAACTTTAATCATATCACATAATCTCAAATAAATTTTAAGAACATTTTTAAGTAAAAGTACATTCTTTCCTTCTATGGAATTGGATATCAAAGGAAACAACGTTGAGTGAATTGCTTCAAATCTTTCAGGTGTTTGAATGGCATAATTAAATCCCAATTCAGACTGTAATAAAGAAACTAATAAGCTTGTTGATTTAACCTTAATTCGTTGATTTTCAAATTCTAATACTCTAAGAATCAATGGGAAAATGTCAAAAACTTTCTCATCTTTAACTGAAATAAGACCACTTTTATAGATTACTAGGAAAACATCAATTGCAGTTGTTTTTATTTTCTCATCACCATAAGGATTGTTATGAAGTTCTACTTTGCTAATATAAGGAAATATAAGATAGTGTGTTTTAGATTCAAGTATCTCAAATTTAACATCATCATCATCAGCAAGTATTGTAATACATTTGAGCATCAAAATAACCTTGTTGAGCTGCTCTTTAGATAAAGAAGTAAGTTTG